CCCCCCCCCAGAAAACGCCATTCTAAGTCAGATAAGAAAGAAAAGACCGTTACAGAGAAGAGGGTAACAACACAAAATGTATCGCTCGTTGTTTGGATGTATCAATGTCGTGTTCCCGCGCTGGTATTTGGTATCATTGTCATAATGTTATTATCATTTATGGTAACTATAGACCGCTAAACATGGCTTCAGCTGTGTGCGCAACTCAATGTCTGTGGAGGGAAAATATACAAAAAGAGAAAAAACATTTTTTTTAATATGGTCCAACATTCCCATAGACACACCCCTAAACCTTGTGGACGCCTTCCCAGAAGAGGCGGAGCTGTTATAGCGGCAAAGGGCGGAGCCAACCCAATACTGAACCCTACGGACTAAGACTGGGATGCCATTAAAGTTCATTTGCGTGTAAAGGCGTCCCAATACTTTTGGTAATATAGTGTATCTACAGTATATATATATATAATTGATATAGGGGGAGGAACCAGGGAAGCAGATTAAACTTCAGTGTTAAAAACGCATATGCACTGCGATGTACTATAATACACAGTGTCCTGTTTGTGCGTTACATTGCAAACAGCATCTATGTGCGAGTTGACACCCGTCAACACCCCAAAACACGCGCGCTGCGTTGCGGTGTCTTTGGCCTTTCAACAAATAAAGCCGCATTTGTCTTTTCAGCCTCAACCAGTATCTGCGATAAGCCGGATTTAAACATAAACCAGATCCCAGGTCATGGCAGCTGAATGGAAAACACGGAGTTTAGGACTTCTGAAGGAATACGTAAGTGATCCGAATGGCGTTTAGATATAATCTGCCACAAGTCATTTTTAGATCAGGGGCGGAGTGTGAACGGTGGAGTGTCGGAAGGAAACAGGGTGACATTACAACCTGTAATACTGGGTTGGGGGGGACGTTCTTCCCCTTTCATAGCCATGCAGCTGTTCTTTCACTGGAAAGAAAGACACATCTGCTCATTAGCAATACAATGTCACTCCCAGCCTCTAATTATATGCAGATGACGGCTTCTTTATGTGTCGGCTAAAAGCGGTACAGTCCTCGCAAAGAAGAGAAAGAAAAAAAAAAGCCTCCTCTGCTAAGAAATATAGGGAGCGTTGGGAGCGTCGGGATTCCAGAATAAATCCCGAGAATATCTTCCGCTCATAGACAGCAGGTAACAAAGTTATAAAGGTGAATATATACATTAAAGGGGAACTGTAGACTTTAGAAAGCCCAATTTTACCCAAATTTTCAAACCAAAGAAGATTGGATAGATCAGACCGGCGTGGTTTCATCCAATGTCTCAGGAATGGCGTAGAAGTGATTTCCCTCACACGGGGCCAGATAAATATTTGGTGCACTGAGGATAGTTTATCTAGCCTAATGCCCCTGAAAGAGAAGTTTCGATTGGTGGTGCTCCAGGAGGGGTACTTGAAAATCAGCTGGATGGACACGGTCATGGATGAAGAGGTGCTGCAGACTCAATACAGCAAAACCATGTAGGTTTGAAGGAACATTGCTGACTTTTGTTGGTCACATCGCTGAAAACTTGGCCAAGAGGAGCTATGAAAGACTGTGGAAGAGCAAGGGAAAGAAAGGGAAAGGGAGAACATGGTGGAAGAATGACACATGACCATCACACCTATTACAAATGCTCTTCCTGAGATAAGAGAGACTTTCAGACGGGTGATTTACAACCCTGATAAAATACACTGTAGGGTCAAAGTTCTGTGGACACCTGACCATCACACCTCTATATCCCATTCCAAAACCGTGGCCATTAATATGGTGGTGAACCCCCTTTGTAGCTATAACAGCCTCCCCTCCTCTAGTAATGCCTTCCAGAAGATGTTGGAGGGTGTCTTTGGGAAATTGGGTCCATTTGGGAGGTCAGGTACTGATGTTGGATGAGAAGACCCGGCTCACAATCAGCGTACCAATTCATCCCAAAGGTGTTCAGTAGGGTTGAGGTCAGGGCTCTGTGCAGGACACAAGTCCCTCCACCCCAAACTCCCCCATCCATGTCTTTATGGAGCTGGCTTTGTACACAGGGGACAGTCATGGTGGAACAGAAAAGGGTCTTCACCAAACTGTTACCACATGACTGAAAGAGGGCAATTGTCTACATTGTCTTTGTATGTTGTGGCAATAACAGGACCCTTCATTGGAGACACCTGTTATCAATAATCTGGAGGCGAATATACACTATATTGCCAAAAGAATTGGGACACCCCTCCAAATTATTGGATTCAGGTGTTCCAATCACCTCAATGGCCCCTTCCTGTTCCCACATGACTGGGCAACAGTGCACACAGCAAGGTCCATAAAGACATGGATGGGGGAGTTTGGGGGTGGAGGAACGTGACTGGCCTGCACAGAGTCCTGACCTCAACCCCATAGAACACCTTTGGGATGAATTAGAGCGGAGACTGCGAGCCCCTCCCGCAACATCAGTACCTGACCTCACAAATGGTCCAACATTCCCATACACACACTCCTAAACCTTGTGGACGCCTTCCCAGAAGAGGTGAAGCTGTTATAGCGGCAAAGGGCGGAGCCAACCCAATACTGAACCCTACGGACTGGGGTGCCATTAAAGTTCATGTGCGTGTAAAGGCGTCCCAATACTTTTGGCGATATAGTGTATATATAGCAGAAACCGCATACTTGATGCAGGAAATGGAACCTATCCTGGCCATGAAGTTGTGACACACCTCTGGAGCTTTAGGGGTTAATAGTGATCTTTAACTGTAAAAAGCGAAGCAGGCCAAAAGCTGTGTTTTTCCCCTCCTTAGGAGATCCAAGACACCCGTAGAGGAGGATGGTGTTTGCCAGGAATGCCTACGTCCTCCTCCGGTTAGTTTGTCATCAAGTGCAATGACATATTGTCTGATTTCAAGGTTGGCCTCTCGCAAGAAGCGCCGAACTGTCATTATCTCGGTTGCAATTAGCAGGATAATGAGAGGCTCTCCCGTCACTCTACCTTGAGTTGGGTCATGGTTCTCCCAGAAGACCTTCAGTAGTTTCCCATAGCTGATGTCTTCCGGCTTGTAGACAACTCGGACCACCTCTGTATGACCCGTCCTCCCTGGAAGGAGACAATAAGCTGATATTACAATGTTGTTTCTCCTGCAGAACTTACACTCCCGTGTCACCATGAAGAAATGTGAAACACTCGAACATAGGGGGGAAATTACAATGGGTTTTGTTTGTGAATGATCTACAAGACATTTATCTTTCATACATCCATGACGCTCTGTTTGCAAAGCATGCTCCGCTTTCTAGTACGACCCAGCAGCGCCTGTACGCTTTCTGGCACTCTGTGCTAATTCAATAGTTAAAATGCACTTCAGGTATGTAATCATTATAGATAACAATGTATCACCTCAGCCTCCTGTAATCACACATACAGGTGAAACTCGAATAATTAGAATATCGTGCAAAAGTAATGGCAGTAAGTGCTGCAAAAGGGGCCCAAACCAAGTACTGAGTACATATGCATGCTGGTACTTCTCAGAGGTCCGATATTGTTCTATGTACAATCCTTGTTTTATTGATTGCATGTAATATTCTACTTTTTTGAGGTTGTGGATTTGGGGTTTTCATGAGCTGTAAGCCATAATCATCACAATGATGACAAATCACGGCTTGAATTATGTTGCTTTGCATGTAATGAGTCTCTCTCATATATTAGTTTCACCGCATAAGTTGCATTAGTGAAATAAATGAACTTTGCACGACATTCTAATTATTCGAGTTTCACCTGTATATAGTTACATATCATCCATCAAGATCAACCAATAGACAAAAATAAATGTACTGTACTCTAATACACTTTAAAGTTAGAACTTTGGGGAAAAGCCCTGACCCCATAGTTCTCCTTTAAGTCTTTTCCCCATAGTTCTCCTTAGGGTAACGGGGGGACACAAACTAGCGCCCTGCTGTCACCCTAGGCTCAGTATATGGGGAGCTAATGACAGTCTCATTGTCACAGGTCGGCTAGAACTATGAGGTGAGTGAAAAGCACCCCCCTCCCCCCCCTCATAGTTCTCCTTTCATCTCTAAGCGGGGCCAGAACAGGTGAGTGTAATCAGGACTTCTCGGCTTGCAGTTATAGACAATTTCAATGCTTTCCAATGATTGGATCAGACATTAGAGCAAAATCAATTGATCCCATATTGGAAATAACCAGTGCCATAATCAAGCAATCTATATCAGACGGTATTGAGCAGATCAGTCCAGTAATGAACTAATGAAGTGACAACGCTGTGTCTAAAGGTGCCCACACACCTTACGATAATCGTATGCGATCGCGTTTTTCGTCCGATAATCGCAAGGTGCGTGGGCAGTGTGCAACCGCGAATCGTGTACAATCGTACGACTTTCGACTTTCAATAAACTTCAACTTTAAAATGCCTATTGAAGGTATTTCCTGTTTCGTAGCCTTATGGGCAGGGCCGAATTTACTCTCCCTGCCGCCCGAAGGCCAGGTTCCACAATACGCCCGCACCGCCAACCCCCCCCCCATCAATTGAGAATGGCAACCCAATGGCAGGGCGGCGGGGTTAGTTTCAATTTTTGTTTTACTGTTTCTTTATTTTTGTATTCAATTATTTCTTCTTCTTTTTTTTTTATTTCTTTATTTAATTATTTTTTAATCAATTAATGCGGCCGCACACTACGGTCCGCCGCCGGGACACCTTACACCGGCGCCCGCAACTTCCCCACAAGGTCACCGCTGCCGCCCCGAGGCCGGGCCTCGGTGGCCTTGTGGGAAATCCGGGCTTGCTTATGGGTCCTCTGTGCACCTTTCCTTGTACTTCCCCTTTAGATTTAAGAATGGCAGCCAGAGTCTACAAAGTGTTACAGAGTAAGTGCGGTCACTATTCCCAGAACTCCTTGCGTCTGGCTATTCCCCAGCATCTGCCATACATCAGAGCAACTATTTTGGGTGGACTTATCTGCAAACTGGTCCCTGCTCAGAGCCGTGCCTGCAATCCTATGTTAAATGCTCTGGGCAAACGTGCTTTGGCGCATAGACGTGTGCGCACGAGAACTTACACGCGCAATAGCGCACAAGAGCGCACTGACGCATGCTCGTTAGCGGGTGCGCTATGTCTATATAAATGGACAGAAGCCATGATCAAGTTGCTGAGTGGTTGTAAGTTTGTCCCTGTGTGCCCTGTGTTCTGTTCCTGAGTTCCTGGTCTCCTGTGACCATCGACTCCGCGTCCTCCTTTCGATTTGGTACCTTACCTCTCTGCTCTCCTGTGTATGACCCTGGCTTACGATTCCTGACCTTGCTCCTGATCTGCAATTCAGCACTTCAAGGTTCTGCCTCCTGCGTATGACCCCGGCTCTGAACCAGGCTTCACTCCTGGCTTGCCACTTGGTGCCTCGTCCCAACAGTACTCTGGGCCACCTCATCCAGCAATTGCTTCTCAGGCTCCACGCCTGTTATCTGATCCAGTTCAGAGAGATCCCGGTGTCATCCTGATCTTGCAGACCAGCCAGTCCAACGCACTCAAGCGCCTCTACGAGACCCGGCCAGCCACCAGAACCTGTACCCGTCCTTACATCCCCTGTCACCACCTCCAGAGGTGTGTGACGAGAGGTGCACGGGTAGCCCCCTTCTCAGTTGGTGTCAGGGTTCCACCTGAATTGGCTTGGACGACTACCCACTCCGGCTCCTGACTCTGGCTTGTTCCGGTTTATGATTCTTCTTGCTCCTGTGGACACTGTTCTTAATAAATATTTTAACCAGCACCTTATGCTTGTCTACTTTTCATTGTGCTCTGACAGTTGGGTCTCCATTCAGATATGTGCTATTTGGGCTTTAACATATATTAGTAAATTGTCATTTATAAATTGTCAATAACAAATGGATAGTTGTATAGAAGAGAAACAATGGCGGGGAGTATCTGACCGCCGGTACGCTATAGAGGAAGAGCGCGGCGCTGCGTTTGATATGCCATGAACTAGAGCAGAGACACCGGCACTCCAAATGTGCAAAATACGTCTATTTATTGACGTGCATCGTGGTAAAAAAACAACGACCGTTTCGGGGTCACAAAGTATCCCCTTTATCCTTGTTTTACCCGATGAAGGGGATCCTTTGTGACCCTGAAACGTTGTTTTTTACCACGATGCACGTCAATAAATAGACGTATTTTGCAAATTTGGAGTGCCGGTGTCTCTGCTTTAGTTCACGATTGTTACGGCTGCCACCCGTTGACTACCGCAGCACCCAATTCTTGAAGGGATTCACGCGGAGTGCGATGGGACCATGGACTATCTGCGTTTGATATGTCAGTCACGTAAGCTTGTACCGGTTGAAAACTGAAAACAACTGGCAGGCAGTAAGAGTAAAACTCAGAGTAATTGTTAGTTTGGAGGAAACGGAAGGTCGTCTGGATTATATTCACATCATGAATCCTCTGAAAATTGCTTCTGATCCCCTCCTGTTGATCCTGTGTCAGAGAAGATTGCTGCCCATCCTCGGCCACCAATGGCGCACAACTTGCAGTATTAGTCTGAGATAAACAGACACCTCCAGTGCCCGTCCCTGGAATGATTCCGTATGATTCTAGTGTATTATTTTACAGCCTTCTCCAACAAAAGGTCTTAAAGTGTATGGAGAGGCAAAACTTTATTTCTTTCTGGATAGAGTGGGGAAAGGTTTTGGGCAGGGGTAGGCAACCCTGGAGAGGTGGAGGCCTACCTGAATATTATGGAAGAGATCAAAGATCATTGGAGTGCAGCGTGTTTTACCTTTGAGGAAATAATCTAGCAAGGCCTCATTAAAATGTAAAGAAGTTCTGAAGAGTTCAGAGATCACTAATAAGTAACGCAGAGTGCAGGGGTCAGTAGTATGTAATGGAGCATTTAGAGGTCAGTAGTAAGTAACATGAGTGCAGGGGTCAGTAGTATGTAATGCAGCATTTAGAGGTCAGTAGTAAGTAATGAAGAGTGCGGGGGTCAGTAGTATGTAATGCAGAATTTAGAGGTCAGTAGTAACATTGAGTGCAGGGGTCAGTAGTATGTAATGTAGCATTTAGAGGTCAGTAGTAAGTAACATTGAGTGCCGGGGACAGTAGTATGTAATGGAGCATTTAGAGGTCAGTAGTAAGTAACGTGAGTGCAGGGGTCAGTAGTATGTAATGCAGCATTTAGAGGTCAGTAGTAAGTAACGTGAGTGCAGGGGTCAGGAGTATGTAATGCAGCATTTAGCGGCCAGTAGTAAGTAATGCAGAGTGCAGGGGTCAGTAGTATGTAATGCAGCATTTAGAGGTCAGTAGTAAGTAACGTGAGCGGAGGGGTCAGTAGTATGTCATTCAGAATTTAGAGGTCAGTAGTAAGTAACGTGAGCGCAGGGGTCAGGAGTATGTAATGGAGCATTTAGAGGTCAGTAGTAAGTAACGTTGAGTGCAGGGGTCAGTAGTATGTAATGCAGCATTTAGAGGTCAGTAGTAACGTGAGTGCAGGGGTCAGTAGTATGTAATGTAGCATTTAGAGGTCAGTAGTAAGTAACGTGAGTGCAGGGGTCAGTAGTATGTAATGGAGCATTTAGAGGTCAGTAGTAACGTGAGCTCAGGGGTCAGGAGTATGTAATGGAGCATTTAGAGGTCAGTAGTAAGTAATGCAGAGTGCAGGGGTCAGGAGTATGTAATGCAGCATTTAGAGGTCAGTAGTAAGTAACGTGAGCACAGAGGTCAGGAGTATGTAATGCAGCATTTAGAGGTCAGTATTAAGTAATGCAGAGTGCAGGGGTCAGGAGTATGTAATGCAGCATTTAGAGGTCAGAAGTATGTAATGCAGAGTGCAGGGGTCAGGAGTATGTAATGGAGCATTTAGAGGTCAGTAGTAAGTAACGTGAGCGCAGGCGTCAGGAGTATGTAACACAAATTGCAGGACTCACTTGTATGTAATGCAGAGTTCAGGAGTCAATAGCAAGTAACACAGAGTGCAGAGGTCAGTTGTAAGTAATGACGTCATCAAGTACAATGCAGGCGCTCTGGCCGGTGGTCTTAAAGGAGAACTATGAGGGGGGAGGGGAGTGCTTTTCACTCACCTCATAGTTCTAGCCGA